TCTCTCTCTCTCTCTCTCTCTCTCTCTCTTCCTTCCTTCCTTCCTTTATTCTTTCTATTGTTTCAACAGATGGGATCTTTCTATGTTGTCCAGGCTGGCCCTGAACTCTTGGGTTTAAAAGTAGCTGGCACCACAGGTGCATGCCATCACACCTGGTTCACCCCTTCCTTTAAAGTAAAACAATGTATTGCAAACCAGTGCATGAATAATCATTTCCTAAATTTGATATGTATATGTTTCCACCAGAAATATATAACGAGTTTTACAGAAATCCTCACCAAAGGTTTCTTAAAAGCTCTCTTTGTGAACTTAAAATGTGATTTAATTTATTGTAGATTCTATCTTCTAGCAATGTCACTATTGTAAAGTTTGAAATATATTTTGCTAAAAATGCAAATTAGTTTGACCTTGGATGATCTAGAACGATATATTACTTACATTAAAGTGAAAAGTTTATTTTCCATTTCATTGTATTTATTCACCTGTTGTCTGATCTCCATCAGATCATGGAAGTAGCAGTTCCAAGATAGGATTTGGGAAGGCTTATCTCCCTACCCACTCATGAAAATAGCATACAATTTAGGGTTATGCCACCCAACTAAGCTTACTAGGTAAGTAAGATCAGTATGATATTACTAATGCTTGCAGGGAAAATAAGGCTCCAGAACGCCCCAATCCTCTTTCAATTGTGCTGTTGTCCCTAAGCCCTACTATGTTATAGACATTCTGGAACTGCTGTGGCCCGCAGGCATAATATCAAATACCAGTTCTAGGACTCTAAAGAAATAAACACCTGTGATTGATTGTTTTCAGGCAAAAATATAGCTGCATTGAAAATTCCAAGAACATTTCAGTTGAAACATCTTTTTAAAAGTAAGAAAATACCTAAATATATTAAAATTTTATGATCCTGCTACTTGCAAAGCGGAACCAGAGGTCAACCAAGGAGAGTAACAGGCTCTCTGTGATCTTGCTGCTCCCAGTGTGATCCCTGAGCCATGGCAGTACTTGAGAGCTCCTTAGAAAAGCACAATCTCAGGCCCCCATCCCAGACCCGTTCAATCAAAATCTGCATCTTAATAAGATCCCCAAGTGATTCAAATTCACATGAACATTTTGGAGGAATTACTCCAACGTTATTGTGTTTATTTCCTGGGAGAGTCACACTTGGCAATCAGATGTGATGGCAAAATGGAGTCGTTCTATCTTTAGTAATCTCGACAGATCTCTGAGCTCCATGGTATAGATCATGAACTCTAACATACTTCTTCAACAGATAATCGAATAAGCAAATGGATGAAATGATGGAAAGATAATATCTAATTTTAGATTTGATATTTTCTCTTATCTATTGGCACCATTTGGTTAAATATCTTCCAACTGGTTTTCCTGTGGCTTTCTCTATCCTGCCAGCACCATGTCCTGGGAGGTGGTCCTGCATCAGCTATGCATACTCTGGCTCCCAGCAGGCACAGTGGATTAGAAGTGTGAGTGGGAGATCAAAGGCACGAGGAGGCAAGGTAAGGCTAGTGTTACCAACACTAGTAATACCATCCCTTAATGGAAGCTGACAACCTCTGAGTCTCCAGGTTCTGAAAACTTTCCTGGTCTCATTGTCCCTACAATCCTATGGATAGAAATGCCTCTGTTGTCATCAGCCTGCAGGTACTACACTATTGTCTGCGATTTTTCTACATGCTTTTCATGTGTTTGTGAATAGTTCCTTAAACAAACTCTGTTCCTTTGACTCTATCTTAATATGCCTCCATTCTCTGCCAGAACCTTGACTGAAAGAACTACTTACACTTTAGGGCACTGAACTGATAATGAAAGGTTCTGGGTCCAGGTAGGATGGATTAAGCACACTCCTCCGTGTTTCTCCTACTGAATGCTGCTACAAAGCTTGGGTAGGGTGCATTGAGTAGCCATTTAAGAACTTATACTTTTCTACAGAAGGTTTAAGTAAGATGGTACTGTTGTGTCTGTAACATACACTAAAAGGAGAGAGCTACCCTGATTTATGCTTTGTCTAATTTCCTATTTGATAAACTGACCTCCTGAGTATAAATTCACCACCTCAATCAATATCATGCATTAATGCAATAGGTTAAAAAAAATCAAATCTTGGTTGCACCACTTACTTAGTTGGATGACCTTGGGCAAGTTAGCTAATCTCTCTGAGTTTCAGTAGTATTGTCTATAAAGTGGAAATAATTTAAAGTCCTAAGTAGAGTGTCTGGTCCATACTAAGCATTGAATGAATGTTACCAGGTATTATTTCCTAGTAAACCAATTAGTTTGCTTTTACCTTAAGCAGTCATTGAAGCCTTCCACTCCATATTTGGATGGAGTATAGCCCCCTCCACCAAATGCAAGCCGACCTCCAATGCTGGAGACGTTGACAATCCTCCCTCGAGCTTTTTTGAGCAAGGGAAGCATATTTAAAGTCACATCGATGAGTCCAAACAGGTTCACTTCAATAGGTTCTCTGTAGTCTGCCACTGTCAGCCAGTCGGTGGGAGCCAGCACACCAAGAACACCAGCATTGTTGATCAGACCCCAGAGACCTAGAGCCCAGAGGGAAGAAAGGAGATGTGGTAGAAGGTGGCGTTCATATGGAGTCTTGGATGAAAATGCAGCCTCTGTTTTACACAATGGTGCCATTTCTTCCTTGTAGATATATTGCTGCTGTGAAATATTTTGCAGTTTGTAGAAGTTATAGCAGAGAGAGTGGGAGAATAAATTCAAATAATTGAAGTTTGTTTTTACTGAAATTTAGTTTCAGTGTTATTTTATTTCCAATTCTGAATGTCAAATAATGATACTTTTTGAGTTAGACTTTCTGCATTTTCATCTCATATGTAGAGTAAATAGGTCTATTCCCCCCACCCACCCCACCTGCCTTGCTTGATGGCAAAGTCAGAGAATATTTATAAAATGTTCTATATGGATAGAGTGAAATCAATCCACCTCATGTTTATTTTTGGTGAAAAAAATCTAATCACTCGCTGGGCTTGTTTTATGATGGGAAACATTTAATATTGCTAAAGGTATTTGGAATTCAAGCATTAAAAATTGTCTGGAGCCTTATCAAATCATAATGTTTATACTTCAGAATCTCAGGTATATGATGAAGATATAGTTGAGAAAAATATATACATTTGTTTTTTTTTTCTTTATAGACCCCAATATCTTATTCCATGAGAATATTTCAAATGCTGGACAAAGCTGATTCAAACCTTCTAGTTTAGAAAGCATCCATCTTCCCCCCAAAACAACTGCCAAATGTTTTCTCGGATATAAGGAGGCTGACTCATAGTGGGGTAGGGAGAGGGAGCATGGGAGGAATAGATGAATTCTACTTAGGGAAGAGGGGTGGGAGGGAAAAGGAGGGGGCAGGGGATTAGCAAGGATGGTGGAATGTGATGGACATTATTATGCAAAGTACATGTATGAAGACCAGAATTGGGTGTCAACATACTTTATATACAAACAGAGATATGAAAAATTGTGGTATATTTGTGTAATAAGAATTGTAATGCCAAAAAAGTCCATGTATAAAGACATGAATTGGAGTGAACATGCTTTATATACAAAGATAAGGAAAATTGAGGTATATTTGTGTGATAAAAATTGTAATGCAAAACCAAAACAAAACAAAGTGCATGTGTAAAGGCACAAATTGGCGTGAACATGCTTTAGATACAAAGATGAAAAGTTGTACTCTATATGTGTAATAAGAATTGTAATGCATTCTGCTGTTGTGTATTTAAAAAAATAAAATCAATAAAACTAAAAAAAAAAAAACAAAAAATCAGCCATCTTAGCAGAATCTACTTACAGAATGAGTGTCCAAGGGCTCAGTACTCCACCAGGACTGTGTAAGATTCTAACTCATGTTCTCAGGCCCTTTCCTACCTCACCCTGTGAACTCTGGAGCATTCTGTAGTGAAAAGTGGGTGTCAGCTATTCAAAGGATGATTTTGCTCTGCTCCCATATTCTCCTATAGATTTCACTCCAGTCCCTTTGCTATGTATATGGATGGAGTAAAACTTCATTGCAGAATACCAGGGAAAATCAGTACCTTCATCTCTGTTCTAAATTGACCCACTGGGACAAAAGACTGAGCGGAATTTGATTGGTGTCTCTATTGTCTGCAGACAGCTTGCAACTTGGAATTACCCAGATGCTTTCCTGAAGTTAGAGAAGTGCACAGCTGGTATTTAGGAGACATTTTATTGAAAATCCATTTAAAATCTGAACACATTTTATTTTTCTTTAGTTAATTCCCTAGATCCCTCCCTTCCCCACCCCCATGTCTCTCACCTTTTTCCCCAACATGGTTCTTCACCCACTGGGCAGTCTTCTTGACATTCTCGGGGTCAGTTACATCCAGAAGCACTGTATGAAGTCTCTCTGAGGTTTCTGCCTTCAAAGCTGTCGACCCTGATTCAGTCAGACAGGCAGCAATTACACGAAATCCTTTTTTATCAAAAGTTCTGGCTGCCAAGTTTCCAAAGCCTGAGTCGCACCCAGTGATGAAAATATACTTATCGGTAATGTCTGCAATCTTCAGTTGTCCTTTATAATTCCATAGAAAAGCACAGAGGATTAGGAGGGCTAGCACCCCAAAAAGCATTTTTTTTTCCTATGTGATGAGGTACTCCTTTCTTGTATCACAAAAGAGGATGGTATCCTGAGGGTTCAAAATTAGAAAGAAAATTCAAATTAGAACTACCGAAGTATCATAACCTAGGCTTGATGAACTGGAGATATTTTAGTTCACTTGAATAGGTAAATATAAAGTTAAAAAATAATACTTCTTATTTAGTTGTTTGTTGGGAAGATGGCCATTTAAAGAATAAATTGCTTCTCGAAGGTAGTACAAAAACTATCCAAGTAGAATTCAGAGAAATTAAGTGGGAGACAGAAAGGGAGACTCCCTGGCAGAGCTGACACAGGTCAGAGGTAGATGAGGTTGACTGGAGTTGTGTGGGACAGTGACATTAATTTGACACTTGTGAACTCATCCATCAGAAAGACAGATTCTTGCCGTAAAACCTTACTTATTGTCACTTCGTGAAATTTAAGCAAAACAGGTCAAATCTATTAGAAAGTATAGTTCAGTCTTACTTGTTCTAGTAGACTCTTGATTTTTAGACTGTCAGGAAAATGAGAGCATTTTACTGTTGTCACTAAGAAAACACTCTCAACGTGGTTTCCATTTTCTTATTTTAAATAGGTTCATGTTAGCCTTCAACTCAGCTTTGAGAGTATTACAGCTCAATGCTGAGAATATTAATGTGGCAGAAGAGGGAGATGAATAGGAAGAGATTGGGAGAGAACTGTTGGTCCATGTACAGTATTCCAACCCACTATTGCAAATACTCAGATTTCATCCTCTTTGGACACCAGCCTGCTATGAGAAACAAACAAACAAACAAAAAAACCCCAAAACTCTCACATATACGAAAGACAAAGTGAAGCAAATAGATATTGTAAAACCAAGGCTTTGACCATAAGTGGCATAAAACCATTGGGGAAAATAATTTTGTCAGGGCTGGGAGCAGACGAGGAGGACTACCATCAAACAAGAGGAGACTGCCCTTCCCTTTCCTCAGAAGCCTGTGGTGGCGTGTCCCCTCAGTTTATGCCAACTCTTACCATGGACAGTGGTGCCTGGGGAAGAGTCAGAGGAGGAAGTGGCCAACAGTCAAAGGACAGGCTTCCCTTGCTGTCTCAGGTTTGAGTGTAGCATGGAGGCCCAGCCCTCCCAATGCACAGCCATGAGACAGCCCTAGGGAAGGAGATCATCCATGCCCACCACACAGGCACACCTGTGTAGGCTCCTTACCCCAGGGAGGGAAGAGGGCCATAGGAAGTAGGGGAAGACCTTATTTCTTCCCCAATGACCAAGAAAATTTCCTGCTGTTTCCAGGCAGTATCTTTGCCCCTGATTTAGACCCTCCCTTAGAATCTAGAGGTCCCTAAGTGCCTCAAAGAGGACAATCAATAAGCTTGAGTTGAAGTTCAGACCTTGTAGATGCTTCTGGAATCATGGCTGTTCATGGACACTGTGCTCAGAAAGTAGCTGTGGAGCCAAGCAATTTTATAAATGTTGGACATTGTTTTCTTACAATATTTTCTGGTTTTTCCTTTGAACCCTTTAAAATATTTTCTCTGCATATAAAATCAACTTATATTTATGGTGGAAAAAAAAAGTCCAGAAAAAAGAAGATAGTAACAGTTATCACGTTTGACTCTTAATATTTTGGTGCATTTAACTGCAGTTTATTTTCTTTTTTTTTTAAGAGAGAGTGAGAAAGGAGAGAGAGAGAGAGAAAGAGAGAGAGAGAGAGAGAGAGAGAGAGAATTTTTAATATTTATTTTTTAGTTCTTGGCGGACACAACATCTTTGTTGGTATGTGGTGCTGAGGATTGAACCCGGGCCACACGCACGCCAGGCGAGCGCGACACCGCTTGAGCCACATCCCCAGCCCTCCAGTTTATTTTCTATATATGTATTTACTGTATATGTAAAAATTCTCTCTTTCTAATGAGAAATACAATAATTATACATATAGATAGAATTTCATCACACACACAACACACACACATACACTATATATCTATCACTGTATAAGAAACACAGTATTTCAGATAAAAACAAAAACTCCATGTAATATATATTTACTTCTTAAGGAGAGTTTGAACACTCTGTTTTCAGTTTTTGTCCTAACAGAGCTAGAGCTTAAAAAAGAGAAAGTTGAAAGAATTGCTCTTTGAAAAATATTAAGCCAGAGAAACACATTAAAAATATGTTAGGTTTGAGGAAAACAGTTGATTCTTGAGGTACAGCTATGAGGAAGGCAAGTTCTGTTCCTGGGCATGAGGGTGGATTATGAGCCTTAAGGCCTTGAATTCAGGTGGATGGATGACTGGGCAAACGGCTTTCACAGACCCTTGAGAGGGTCATGGATAGAACTGAGGGGTCTGTCCACTTGGATGGCACAAGATTCCATTTTACTTTCTCTACACTGTGCCTGAAATTTAGCACACCTTTGAATTATGAAAGTAACAACAAACCACAGCATTATTTGTAGTACCTGTGACTTTGTTACAGTAGAAATCACAAATATCTTTATGTCACATTGCTATTATTAGAGTTGTCTCAAAATATGGCTTATGCTCATCACCACTTCAAAATTATGGTGAACATCATTTCTTCTACTATTATACTGTTACTTCATGTGTTAATTAAAGAAAAATTTAATTATTTTGGATGTATTTCACTATAGTAGATTCCTTTGTAGTTCTATGCATTTTACTTCATGTATTAAAAATTATTCACACTTAAAAGGTAGCTGTGGTGAGATAAACCCACATCAATATAGTTATCTCATACTAGACAAAGGTGCCATAAACATACATTGGAGAAAAGATAGCCTCTTCAACAAAAAGTGTTGGGAAAACTGGAAATCCATATGAAACAAAATGAAATTAGACCCCTGTCTCTTACCCTGCACAAAACTCAACTCAAAAGTGGATTAAGGACCTAGCTAGGCATTAGACCAGAAACCCCACGCCTACTAGAAGAAAAAGAAGTCCCAAATCTCTATGATGTTAGCTTAGGAATTGACTTCCTCAACAAGAAGTAAAGCACAAGAAGTAAAATAAAGGATCAATAAATTGGATGGTATCAAACTAAAAAGCTGCTTCAAAGCAAAGGAAAACAATCAAGAATGTGAAGAGAGAGCATAAAGAGAAAATCTTTGCCACCTGCACCTTGGATACAGCATTAATCCTCAAGGTATATAAAGAACTTTGAAAGCTTAATTCCAAAAAAATCAAATAACCCAATCAATACATTGGGAAAGAAATTGAACAGACACTTCACAGAAGAAGAAATACAAATGGTCAACAAATATATGAAAAAATGTTCAACATCTCTAGCAATTAGAGAAATACCAATTAAAACTTCACTGAGATTTCATCTCACTCCAGTCAGAATATCAATTATCAAGAATACAAATAACAATAAATGTTGGGATGTGGGGAAAAAGGTACACTCATACATTGCTGGTGGGACTGCAAATTGGTGCAACCACTCTGGAAAGCAGTATGGAGATTCCTCAGAAAACTTGGACCACCATTTGACCCAGTTATCTCACTCCTTGACATATACCCAAAGGACTCAAAATCAGCATAATATAGTGACATGTCCACATCAATGTTTATAGTAGCTCAATTCACAGTAGCTAATCTATGGAACAAATCTAGTCCTTCAACAGATGAATGAATAAAGAGACCATGGTATATATACAATGGAATATTACTGAGCTATAAGGAAGAATAAAATTATGGCATTTGCTGGTAAATGGATGGAACTGGAGACTACCATGCTAAGTGAAATAAACCAATTCCCAAAAAACAAAAGCTGAATGTTCTCTGTGATATGTGGATGCTAACACACAATAAAGAGGTCTGGGAGGGAAGAATAGAAGTTCATTGGATTAGACAAAGGGGAATGAAGGGAAGTAAAGGGGGATAAGAATAGGAAAGACAGTAGAATGAATCAGACATAACTTTCCTATGTTCACATATATGAATACATGACCAGTGTAACTCCATATCATGTACAACTACAAGAATGGGATCCTAATTAGAATAAGTCATATTCTATGTATGTATAATATGTCAAAATACATTCTATTGTTATGTATATCTAAAAAACCAAATAGTAAAGGTAGCTGTGATAATGACAATCACATAAAGAAAGACCAAAAAAAAGAAAGACCAAATTTCCTAGAACATACTCCATTGTATGTGTATACTTACATTTACAATTTAACAGGAACAAATTATATCCCATAAAGTCCATGCTTTTACCATAACTTGAAAACAGACAATCCTGAAATTTAAAATTGCTGGATTGAGAAAGTAGGTAAATATATAACGGTTAATAAAGGCCAGGTTTCATATTGTCAGAAAGAGGAGTTGCAAATGTGGAAAGGGAGAGGCTGGAATGGACCTGGTAGAATTGGATTAGAGTTGGAAGACTCAGTAAGAACTCATGGCTTTTAATATGAGTCCGTAGATACTGACATAGATAAATAGCTTTCAAAGTCTACCTGATGAACTATAAGCAATGAAACTCTACTAGCAACAAAGAAACCAAGTGCTCTGGCCCTGAGATTTAAGTATTATATTCATAATTGTTGGAGAAGTTAATATCAGGGTTGGGCTGGAAAAGTACAAAATGAACCCAGAATATCTCATGCCAGAAAGTGAAAAAGTGCTCAAAGAATGTTGAACGTATCAAAAGTACATTGGAACCAATTGGAAGAGGCTCCCCCCCAGCAAGCATGAGACAATGTGAGCATCAAAACAAATACTGATGATAACAGATCATAACTCACTGACTGTGATATGAAAGCATGAGTTCATTATGATATACAACAATAAACAAATAGAAGGGGAAAAGAAAAAGCTTTTCTTTAGATTTAATATGCCAACTAATAAATGTCAAAGGAATGATGCAATTTGAAAATCAACACTTGGCAATGATGTAGTAACAACTGTTTCAGGCAAGAATGATCAACAGATTTTAAAACTACGGAGTGGAATTTGGACAAGAGACAACAATTAGAGAATCTTGAAGAATGCCACCCAAAGATACTCACTAATTAAAAAGAG